TTCGCCTTGAAAAGGTGCTTTCATAGACAGCGTGAAGGCCTGAGAGACACACCCAAGTGCACACGCTAGCAGGACGAGACAGGACTGGGCATCCCATCGGAGTCCAAACTCCGCAGCATGCCGGCCCCAGCGAATGAGGGCTTCCAGATCCAGGATTGGATTCTTCGTGTGCACGTTTTGGATGAATTGATCTACCAGGGCTGGAATGCGTTCCTCATTCGTCGGTTGGAACCCATCGGGTACAACCCATGTCTCGATGGCAGAGCTCTCCGCCCCGTGTGACGACTGGAATAAGGTCGTGATTAGAGCATTTTCGCGAAATCGTCCGCGGAAAATCGGCCATGTCAGGACCGTATCGGCGCTACCGCGACTAGACGGAATTTGTAGGTAGTCCTTGTATGGCTCTGTGTCTTCTACTGGAAGGTCCAACGGTCCTCCCATTTGCTGCGGTGCGGCGGACCGCCCACTGGAAGTTGGGGTTCCTAAGCTCCGGTCAGCACCCCATGTAAGTGCAGGAGCAAATAATTGAAACGACTCACCGGTGGAGGAGAGATACGAGTGAATGTTCTCGACTGCATAGGTCAGATTATCCAGCCGCTCGATCACCTCTCCCAAATCCCGGTCCCTGTTTTCATTAGTAATGCCGTCGTAGTCGGTTTAGATTAAAGGAAGGTTCGAGGTCTAATGTACTACATACTCCTTTGTTGGTTCACCACGCTCGACGTAAACGCAATTCATACCATTATGTTGGCAAAAGCCACATGCTGGTCTAGCATTATTACAGCGGACCTTTCTCTTCCTGCAGGTCTGGCAGGCTGCCCGTCGACGACTTCCTGGTTGTCTGGGGGGAATAGCGCTTGCCATTGCCCTCGGAGCTGGCTCATCATGACTCTGTGACCTTGACCGTGTTTGGGATAAATCTCTTGCAACATCTATGTCCATGACGCGCTATAAATGAAGAGGATTTCGGGATGTAAGAGTCCTGGGCATCGGAAGTATGTATGAAACTAGTATTTCGTACGGATACAACAAGGGCGGATTTTGCCAAATCTCTCCGCCAATCACGGTCACGTGTCAAGGCCCGTCGGAGATGCTCCGGGATCTAATCCGAGGATGGATTAGCCTGGAAAATCAAGTGCTTGTGTCTGGATGCGGTTAGCGTTGCCTTCCTCTCGGCCTGAGGCCCTGGGAAGACCTGAGGTGAAGAAGAAGACGAAAAAGAAACATGGCTGCTTTGCAACATATCAACACCTTACTGTGAGTACTTCTAATATGTCGTTATACTAACTTTACTCTATCACTAGTAGCTTGGTCCGCCGCTACCTTGCGGCATTTAAGTATATCGGTGCCTTACCTCCGACATTGAGGAAAATATACATCTAAACTGACCTTATTCGATAGGCTTCTTTCTGTGTATTTCTACCCGACAGATTCATGGCACCACTCAGTAGAAGCATCGCGACACTATCACACACAAATGTACCCAAGCACTATCCATTATGGACTGTTCTACATCCATCTCCAAATTTCCGAACCCCAAAGATCAAGGCAGGTGGAGCCCATTCGGCATCACGTGTGCCCGACGAGCCCTTCTCTGTCAAATTCTGTCTCCACTATGGAGTAGAGATTGATAAATTGGGTCTGCCAAGTGTCTTACATGTGCTCTGTTTTTAACTAAAGGGCTTATATCCTCAAGTGGCTCCGTATTTGCGATCTGGGCTCTGACCCGGTTGTTTTACCTCGCATTTCGCTTTGTATTGGACTGTCAAAGTGCCGTTTGTTGCATACTACTGGGCGGCTAATGGCAGACGCTGAGTTAAATGCCTGCCAGCATGTCAGTGACGAACAGGCCACTGAGAATGTAACGGGGCACAAGCCCCAGAAAACACTTCGTAGCGCGATATCAAATATCGTTGAGAAGACGAGGCCAGATTCTTGTGAACACTATCAAGATGCAAAATATCCCGAAGGCGGTCTCCGCGCATGGCTCGTTGTACTGGGTTCCTGGTGTGCCATGGTGCCATCTATGGGTCTGCTGAATACCATCGGAGTCCTCCATGCTTGGACAGCCGATCATCAACTGGCACAGTACTCGTCCTCCAGTTTAGGATGGATCTTTGGCGCTTTTAGCTTTTTCCTCTATTTCGGGGGTGCTCAAGTTGGTATGAACAATGCATGTGTATTCCGACGGCGTGGTGGAGGGTGCTAAATGGAAGTAATTCACAGGACCTATATTTGACAGCCGAGGAGTGCTACCAGTGGTACTACCAGGATCCATTGGCATAGTCCTATCCGTCTTTTTCTTCAGTGCAAGCACCGGTAGGTGTCAGTTCCTGCCAAGCGCAAGAGAAACATCGCTAATCTCTCAGCAGAATACTACCAAATATTCTTGTCCTTCAGTGTTCTTGGTGGTATCTCCTCTTGCTGCTTGTTCACCCCAGCCATCTCCGCCGTCGGCCACTGGTTTGACGTACGTCGCGGCCTTGCAACCGGTATTGCTTGCACGGCTGGCGGTCTCGGTGGCGTCTTCTTTCCTTTAATCATTCTATACATTGGTCCTACACTCGGCTTCGCGTGGGCGATGCGAATCATCGGAATCATCTGCTTCGTCTTGTGTGCTCTGGCTTGCTTATTGCTCAAGACGCGGTTACCACCCAACCAGCAGGCTGGTATGGCAATTGATCTGAAAGCCCTCTTGGAACCAAGATATGCCCTGACCACACTGGCCGTCTGGCTCGTGGAGTTTGCCGTCTTCATCCCATACACGTACATTGTGTCTTATGGGTTGTCTGCCGGCTTGGAAACATCGATGGCATACAAACTGTCCGTGTTCCTGAACGCGGGGGCTATTCCAGGACGAGCCTTTCCGGGAATTCTGGCCGACCGAATGGGCCGATTCAACGTGATGACTATGACAGCAGTTATTTGTGCAATCTGTACGCTAGCGCTATGGTATAAGGCTGGCACTAACGAGGGTGCAATTATTGCATATGCCGTGCTATTTGGGTTCTGGAGTGGGGCAGCGATCAGCTTGACGCCTGTGTGTATATCGCAAGTTTGCCGGACCGAGGATTATGGAAAGCGCAATGGAACCACTTTCACACTGGTCAGTATCGGCACATTGATTGGCATTCCCCTTGCGGGTGCGATTCAGGAAAGCAATGGCGGCGAGTATTGGGGGCTCATCCTCTTCGGCGGAGTTTTGTATCTGGTGTCGGGTATTGCGTTCGCGGTCGCCAGGGGGGTTGCGGGGGGTTGGGGATGGAAGGTGAAGTTTTGAATATAAATCTAGATTATAGAAGTACGGATCCCTCTGAAACCGTATCGCAGTGGAGGATTCAATCTTGATACCCCAGACGATTCTCGCTATGATTGGACCGATCTTCTCGAGTCGAAGCTGTCCGAATTAGGATTTAAGCTTGACAGTAAGGGCGTCGAGTGGCAAAAATCTTTGGATTTTACATTCTTTGACTTGGGCAAGTTTCTTGATACCTCTTTGTGATAACCATCCTATCCACGTTCTTTAGCTATGCCAAACAGAATCTCGATCATTGCCCGCTTTCAAATCTGATAATCTTTCTAAATCCAGCCAACGTATCACTGGCATTGTGTTTTTATCTTAGAAGAGCCCTAACTCTCAGGAAAGCCTTCTCCAAATATGGTAGGCACAAAGACTTCGACAGCCCCAAATCGAGATATTGGACACTAATGATCCCCTTGTAGTGACCAGCCCATGAGATAATTTGCCCCGAGATCAGAGATCCAAGTCCATTGGAGGACACCATGGGCAGGATGATCACGCCGGACATTACCGAGCTATATCCATGGACGTTTTGAAGGTATACTGGTACATAGAATAGATTTGCCCAACACACCAAGCCATGGAGTGTTACCTGCAGAAGGACAAGATTTGCCGACGCATCACTTTGAAAAAGACGTACTAGAGCGCGAACTCTTAGCTCGGAGGATAAGTGTATGATGGCAGTTAAGACTGACTGGGCGTCAGTCTTGATGTGCAACTAGAGGACGGGTAGCGTAGCACGGATACACTAGGATGGTAGACACAGTTATGACGCCCGACGAATACCTTGGATTCTTTTGAAGTGTATAGCAACATCTGACACCCAAACGCACACGGAACGAACACAATTTGCAAAACAAATACTTCCCTACCTCGAACTAATACACACTGATATAACGGCAAGCACAATTTGGCATACCTCGGCACTGAACAATGTGACAGCCCCTATCGGCCTATCTGATGATCTACAGTCCCAATCAGTCACAAGCCTCGGACTCAACCGCGAGTAAAACGTCCGGGTATAGTCATGGAGCGCTGATCTGTGTTACATTGCTTCCACTCTTGCGAGCCAATTAATTCAAGCCATCCATCAGCAATGGTGATAGGGATCCCTTCCTGGCGCCTGCGGACTTCCGTATCGCTACCTTTCTCGCCAGGGGTGAAGATCCTATCCACTCCCATTGCCTTTCCACATATTGGGGGAAACACGAAGGAGAAACAAAGCAGGAATGGTATGTACGTGGTTGAGACCTTAGTCAACGTGCTTCACGGAGAGGCGACTGGCAAATTGGTTTGAGCGGATATCAGTGATATGTTTTGAACGATTGTGGTGATAGCACAAGTAGTTAAACTATACAAAGCTTTGTTTGTGGTACTGTTCGACGGCAGCAGCAACCAATTCAAAGACATTTAGTTATTTTGATAGACTCCAACGTCAAAGAAGCTTAATGTCACTAGCATCTTGATGGGGCAATCAATGATCATATGGATATGGTATTAATTAACACTATCATGTGGGATATATGGCTTCTGAGCACCTTGTGCGGTAATGATAACAGGTAACCGAAAGAACAAGAAAACAAAAAAAAAAAAAAAAAAAAAAAACAAAAAAAAAAAAAAAAAAAAAAAAAAAAAAAAAAAAAAAAAAAAAAAAAAAAGGAACCGAAAGTAAATAGAGCAAGAACAACGCTAGGGATATATACGAGCCATGAACAAGTCTGACAGAAAATGTGGCAAGGAAAAGGGTACCCGACCCTGTAGTTTGGTTGTCAGTTGACGACAAGTATTCCAGGACATTTCGTGTGGCATGCCTGACCAGCAGGCTTCTAGGCATTCGAATGGGATTGTGCTTGCGATACAAAACTAGCCTTTCCTGTGGCCCCATCGAAAATGTGATAGCCATAATCGGCGGCATTGGGGGGGGTGTAGACTATGCTTGGTCAGTGTCATAGACTCACATGTAATTGGTAGGGTTTAGGCAATACGCACTATGAAGGGAAACGGCAACTTGATTAGAACTTGGGTTGTGAACCCGATGAAGACCAATATCGTCTGAGATATATGTCACCTGGTCTGTCTGGTATCGCTTTTGGTGTTTGAGCTGGAGCGGGCTTGTCTCGTTGCCTTCGCTGCTGGGAGGATGGTAGACCGTTTCAGTCAATTCGCCAGCCAAGACCTTCATGATGCAATGGGCGTTGGCATGGTCGTGGATGGGCGAGCCTTTGCCTGGATTCCATACCAGCAGCAGCTTGGACAAGTCAGTCATGGTCTCTTAGGCCCTGTGCAGTCATAGGAAAGGAAGAACATACAATGTTCGCCTTGTGGTTGATGTTTTCGATAGCATTGCGGGTATAGTTCTTACTCGGGTCGTTGTAGAAGAACCGCAGCCAATCATTCGGATTTGAGATATACTTCTGCGCCAGGGCTATCAGGTGCTCATGGTCTACATCTGATGAATCGATACCCGAGGTATCTCCTAGGTAGGACTTGATGTCATGGACGAGATCTTGTAGATCATATGTGGGAGGTAAGAAGCGGTGATTGTATGGCGACGGATGCGGTAACGGGAGAGGCAATTGGATCGCGGAAGCCAACATGATTTCGATTTTGAATCCGAATGGGTGATTGTAGTACTTTGAGAAACCCCGAGGAGTGGTTGAGCAAGCCCAGTATATTTATTGATTGATTGACCGCCATACCGGGCGATCATATTATGACCATCAAACGCCCCCTGATAGCGCAATCGGCGATTGACAGCTTCCATGGTCCAGTTGAATCGCCGATTGCCGGTGGATCCACGCATCTTGGCTTCTGCAGAATGGTACTGATGATGCAAAGAGATCTGCTGAGCGAAGAGCGGTGGCCCAGCCATCCTATCAGAGAGTTCTATCTCGTGCAGTAGAACATTTCCAGAGTTTTGGGGTATTCATAGCCATAGTCTAACAGTCTTGTCGACCCTACATATCTCAAGTAGCTTCCTCGACGGGTAGGATAAGGACAGGTTTCAATCGGCGATTGTGACGGTTTCCGCTGCCAACGGCGCGGACCACCGACGGGAGCCGTCGCAAGACGCTAGTACCCTTGACTGTCTATAGGGGATAACGTTATAGTTCTATCTACGCCGAGTTTCACTTGTGTTTCTGGTCATTTTTGTCTATCTGGAGGTGATTGTAGGGTACGTGTCTCTCGCCACTAATCCGTTTTGCGTAATACTCGGGGAGACCGAACAGACCAAAAGCGCCACAGAAATTCAACGGGAAAAAGGAAAGAAAATCGATGGTTGGCTCTAAAAGGTGCACATCTTCAACTACAACCCTAACTCTCCCGCTGGCAGGATGACGAGTTAACGTCGCATAGACGGGGCTATCCATGTAAACGGATGGTGATCGACAATTGATTAATTTTTAATATCCTCGTTATCATGATCAACATGACCCCGAGACGATCCACCCGGCAAACTGGCCTCGCGGCCCTTGCTTGCACGGAATGCCGCAAACAGCATCTCAAATGTGATGCCACTCAACCGTCCTGTTCGCGTTGTACCCAGGGTGGCTTTGTCTGCCAGTATCTCCCTTCTCGCCGCGGAGGACGCCGGAAGCCACGGCATGACATTGCATATCATAATGCACAACAACATCGGCCCTCGGCTTCGAAACTGAATGATGCGTTTAGCATCAGTGCCACGCATTACTCCCCTGGGAATGGCACTGGGAATGGTATTCAAACGCCTCACCGTGCAACGGGGCTACCTCTGCAAGTAACGAGTGCGCCTGGTCCGATGAACACACCTGATAGTAGCAATATCTCGTTTCCGCGGAGTAGCCGCCCAGGCCTTGTAGGTGTCCCATGGCCGGCGATGCTATCGCCGAATGATGCCAGTTCAGATCGCTTGGAGCCACCAGGGAGGTCATGGGACGAAGATGATCGCTGTGCTCGATTGTATTACGAGCACTTCCATGTGGCACACCCCATCTTGGTCCCCAGCACGTTATACAAGGATCGTGATTACCCTCCCTTTCTTCAATTGGTGGTGGAATTCGTCGGGTCCCATTATTTGCCATCTGGCCCCCGGCAGCAGCTGAAGGACAAGGTAGATGCCGCGCTAGAATCCAATCCGGACCGCTCGCCGTGTATGGTCCAGGCTTGGTTGATCTACTCCATTGCCCTGTACGCCCGCGGCGAGCGACAAAATGCGCAGCAAGCGTTCTCGCAAAGTGCTGAGATCGCTTTTGAGCTGGGCATGCATCGAGGAGATTTCGCTTCGTCAGTCCATCCTGAGAGATCTGTTGAAGCGGAGAGCATGAGAAGAACGTGGTGGGAGCTATACATCACGGATATATTCATGGCCGTTCCGCTCAAGACGATTACCTTTCGATGTACTACAGTCGCTCCGGAGGTCGGCTTGCCTTGCGATGAATCCGCATACACAGGATGTGGAGAGATTCCGCCGCCACGCAAGATGCTGGATTTCAAGCGCAGAGTATTTGCGGCCCAAGAAATCGCCTTCTCGTCCTTCAGCTACCGCATTGAGGCAGTAACCATTCTGTGTCGCGTCTTGGTCCTGAATCGCCTACGGGATTATCATCGCGACCATCTCCAGGCCATTGAAAATGCGCTCGTCAGCTGGGTCAATCACCTACCCTCCCGCAAACTGGATATTGTGGACTCGTATGGTAATGTGGATGAGATGATCTTCCAAGCCCATTTGATCATTGCGTATGCCACCATGTTGCTGCATTTACCACGCAGTGATCTTCGGCCGCTCTTGACACAACCCGACGACTGCTTCTGGCCATCTGCGCCCTGTCACCTCTCCTCTACCTTTCCGCGCTTGGTTCATAGTATCAAGGCGACTGAAGCCTCACGGCGTGTCTCCGACTCCATTTCCATTTGTCCCAACATCCAAAAACACACGCCTTTCGTCATTCCCGCATTGGCTCTATGTGGTATGATCCAGCTCGCAACTTCCATCAATCACTCCGAAGAGTGCTTCGATCATCATTGCAATCGCGTCACCCTCATTCTCGGGTGTCTGAAAAGTACGAAGCGAACCTGGGGCTCCGCCGAATGTGCGTATGATTGCGTCCGATCCACTGCAGCCGACATTCTCTCGGATTCGATCGAGAAATGGAATACCGAGCCATTGAAGTCGATTCCGACACCTCGAGATTCGACTGATGTGGAGCGTATCAGCCAGAATGCACCTCCAGCAGTGACCGTTGCGGAAGGACAGGGCTTAATGATACCTGAACTTGCTCCGGGGTTCATTGATCCGACCTGCTACAATACCTCATTCTTCAACTGCCTGGCGGATTTTGATCTCAGCTAGACCGAATTGAATCCAGTCGAGGAACCTCTGGATATGGTCTGGAAGGCAAAGCCTTTGCGCCACTTGAGTTGTGCGCAAATACACTGCACGAATGCTTATACTCACGCTTGGATACATCCCATCTTGCACGATATTACCAGATACGTACCAAGTTAGCTACGGTGAACTGCCTATATACCCTGCATTTTATTGCCCCGGGCGCAGGTGTGGTTTGCCTGCCTGTGTAATTGCCATATCCTTATGCACACCCTACATAATCCATTAAAGAATAATGTCAAAACAAAAAAGCACTCTCATGAAAAGTTTTATCATTGAATTCAAGCTCTATCAAAGAAAATAATATATCAGAGAGGGTTCCCGCTGTTTTGATTTAAGACTTCATCGACATTGCTACCAACCAAGTCAATTTGTATCGAGGCGGCTGACAGGGCGACGTTGACTTCCACTATCTGGCATGGTGTTGAATGACCTCCCATAGTTCTGCTTAACCGGTCATGTACAAACCGAGGGCGACAAGGTGAGGATTGAGCATGGTCAAGTTGAAAGGGGTGACGAAGAGGTTAAGATCGGTCAGCATGATGGCCATAGTGCCATTGATAATACCATCATTGCCATACACGAAATGCTCCGGTGGATACGTGTAACCGGTGTTGTCACCCGTCACGGTCAATGGCGAGTAGGTCAAGTTCAATTGGGAACTCAAGACCACAAACTTGGGCTCCCCGGCAGTTGTTGTCGTGATGTATGAGTCATTTGGCCCGACAATCTTGCCTGGTGCTTGCCATTCAAGAAAATCTTGCTTTCCAGAATATGATAGCGGCTCTGAGCGGTTGTGGGCAATCGCAGAGGCACAGTTCTTCCCGACCGCGTCCTGGTTCAAGCAGCTCTCATCCTTGGAAATGTCTGACACTGACGGATCAGTATTACGCTTGCCAACTGTCTCGCTACCGTCGTTTGGTGTCTCATCCGGGGAAAGACGGTTGGTGTTGGTGTTGTTCAGGATTTGAAGAGTTGGGAAATTCTGCCACGCGAGATGAGCGGTACCTTCGGGGCAGCATCTGATATGGGGGGCCAGCATTGTCCATTGCCAGGACTGGGGCCATCCGTTCTCAAACCAAATATTAATGGGGTGGAGCCCCGACATCTGTCAGAAGATCAATTGCTGGTGAGCATCGGTGGCGGTTGAGAGAGACAGAAGGGTGGCAACCTGCCAAGGACGAGCAGTAGAAGTGAATTGACACCTGCTATATCTGGATATACTGAATTTGCTGGCAATGGCGCGCCCTCAATGCAACCTACAAAGCTTTCAGAAACCCTTGATGATCAGCAGAGGTGCAGGACTCGTCAGCTTTTATGGATCCCGACAGGACTGTTGCGCTGGATGTGCGACAGGCTGGTGCTCTCTAAGGCTGTCAAATAATGCGCGAACAGGCCACATCAACTATAAGAGCTTGGGTATTCGCTAGGGTTTTAGCGCTCATCGTCTAGCCTGTCTTTCAGCTATCAAGTTGCCATATGAAACTCGCAATGAATCCATCAAAGGTGTCTTGTGAGAAGTATATCCCACCTACGGGCCATGATTCCGAGTCGGAATTTCCGACGCATAGTCCAGGAGGAAAGAATCGAAACGCAACTATAAACGATCGACAAGAACCCTTTCGAATACGGTAGGGAGACAGGGTTGGGACGCTTGTGGAGCCTGCGCACTAAGCTGGGGCCTAAAATAATCCTCTACACCGAACAGTGCTCATGTTTGTCTCGTGCATCAACTAGCCAGGCAAAGTCCTTAATTGAAGAACAGAGCACCACGAGGTGTTCTTTTGCCCGTAGTAAATACCACGTATTAAGACCTGCTACAGCTCAGTCCATATCTTAGCGCACAATGCTGAGACCCGACGATAGAGGAAGATAATCTCCATATTCGCAGGGCTGAGCATGCAGACCTGGGGTAGATGCTAAGATTTAGCCTGGCACCCTAGTCTGGGGGCTAAAACATGACGAAGAGACATAGATATGCCGAAGTAGCTGTGTAAACTACATACCTTCCTCTCTAATACTAGAAAATCGAGCATGACTAACATTGTATGGAACTGGTGCAGATATCCATGCCAGATTATATATTTCCAGTTTTCCTAAACATAACTTCTAGAAGATCATAGGCGGATTATCCTGTATATATCTCTTCTACATCACTATAACTACTGCAAATTCAGCATTTGAAGTATACTACAACAACCAGACACTGCATCTGACTACTCGTACGATTCTCCAGCATCAAGTCAAGGGCTGCTGGCGATAAACTTACCTCATTCGGAAGGCTTACATAAAACGTACTAGACTAACCCGATTCGTACAATACCTTCCCTTTTGGGAATGAGCCATATCACTGGGATTGAGCCAGCCCTAGTGAGAATAACTTGCAATCGCAGACTACCCCGTTTCTCAAACCAGCGCAATGTTAGCAGTTGACAGAAAATGTTGTGCAGGCCTTGTCAGGGGCGAACTTTGTCCATGTGCCTCGCATCTGCGGCAGTGCTCCACTAAAAGTTTCCGTTCCGGCCGTTGTGGGCCGCGTAACAGCCGGCCATTCTTAGGAACGTTTTAGCAAAGGCCGTTCGATAACTCTGGCTATATCATTGGCAGTCTGTGAGTTGGGAGAATGGAGGTTGCGTAACGTCAAATCGGTGTTTATTATCGAGCGAATTGATTCGGATGCCCGGAATACTATATATAGATAGGGTAGCGTTAGAAGGGTTGCCCTTTACTTAGCCGTAGCCGAGCATATGGCCTGAGTTGGTGCTAATAATATAATAATGTAAAAAGCATCACGCTTCTGTGGTTTGCCCACTACGAATAGCCGACTTGCCACCTACAGCGTGGTTAGGGAGCTAAAAGAGGTCACTGACGATAAGATCAAAGATGTGTGGAGTTTGGAGTATCAGAAACGGATTCAGGGGGAATACGGAGTAAGCCAAGAGGGTGCATTCAAATCCCTATGCTATCTTTAATCAACAACTCCTATATTAGAGTTCATCGCTGCCCAGACTTACTCGTTAGGGCCAACGGTCAAAAGCCGTTGTTCTAACAGTACCCATGGAATGGTACTCCCACGCCATGCGACTACCCGTAGCCCGTTCTTCTATTGGCCAATGCACAGATTGATCCTGTGTGTTGTGCGATATGTGACATGCCAAGTATATTTATCTCCCTGGGGTCAGGAAATGTCCATGACACGCTCCCAAACAGGTGCTTGTTTCGAAGGCGAAACGAGAAATTTTGTTGTCTCACTTGGTTGCATTGGAGCCCCACCAATGGCTTACCAATGATTAATATATTTGATGGGAGACAGTCCAATGAGCATGCCGCTATGCATATTAATTTCGGCCCACTAAACCTCAAAGGATCGCAGGATGACAATTCAATTGACCCGGATCTGATAGGCTTCTCCACAGCCTCACAGGCGCACACGCACAATCGAAGTGAGATATGGCTTCAACATATGCCCCTGTTATTGTTATACTCGGCGTAATTGAGCAATGGATACGGGTAGCCAAGTAGGAAAGGAGTTAAAGGTACAAGGAAGATATCAAGAAGTCTTGTGAGTTGCTACTCTCTGCGTCCAAGACTCCAAACCTCGTTCCGGCAGTTCCATTCAGGTTGCTCCTGCTCTGGGTCTGGATCCTCCCTGGCCCACTGTGGTCCGATCCCTCAACCCAATGGGATCTGCCCCGTTTATATTGCCTGCAGCTGAAGCGTTGATTGCAGCCCGATAACCGAACGTTGGCCCGTGCTACCCTCGAAAATCCTCGGTGATGTGCGAGCCAGGGATTTGATGCGTTCAGGATTTAGTACCGAGGGAAACAGAGGGTCCGATAACGAACCTTGAGAAAGGCTAGGTTGGCTCATCTTTTGGATACTCGCTTCCACCGGAAACTATATCCTCTACCATTCATAGGAAAGGTCGTGCTGCCCACTTTTCTGATTCAACGCATGGCCACAACAACTCTTGGGATTGGATACTATACTTTCTCGGCCCTTTAGATCCCTGCCTGGCTCGACACTAGTTACCGAGGATGCCCCTACCATCAACGGCGTGTGAATGGTGGATGGCGAAATCTTAGCCACAACGGCAGAGGGGGGGCGATGCTACCTGGCTAATGGCCGTCGTCTGACACGACTCGGAGAATAAATACGCTGGTCATCCTCCTTTCCACTTCGATATTTTTCTCGCCCCCTGTTAAACATACCGAACGTTATCACAACTGTATACCAAAATGGGTGACGCACAAGCACTTCCCGATTACGTCCGTGACGCCGATGCAGTCCTAAAAGATACGGAGGCCGCCTGGCGACATGGCCGGGTGCCGAATTATTCGAAGACCCGAGAATTTTATGAGCAGAGTTCGTCTTTTGCGGCCTCACTCTCAAAGCACGTATAGCACTGACGCGATTGCCTAAGCTAAAACAATGAAACATGAGGCCGGAAGCCTTCCAGACCTGGTCGAAAAGCTCGTCAAAAACTGGGAAATTGAAGCCTCATTCAAGACCTCGCTCGCCGACTGGAGGACCATCGATCAGAAGACATATAGTTTCTCGTTAAATGGAGGCCCACCGCAATCTGGCGAGCATATGCTCAAGGTCGGCACATACAACGCCCTCCTGACCTCAAGCTCGTACTATGATCCGGCACACAATGATTTCGACACGAGCCACAAGGCATTCAAGCGCATGATGCCTACATTTGCCTGGGAGGTGAAAGAAGTCTACAGCGGACCGCCGACGGTGGTCTTCAAGTGGAGACATTGGGGTGTTATGGCGAATGATTATGTGGGATTTAATGAGTGAGTCCCTTCGTCAATTCACATCAACCGGATACTGACGAGCCCTACCTAGTCGCGGAGAGAAGGTCAGGGTCAAGGCACATGGCGGCATGATTGATATTCAGGGTATCGTGATCGCCAAAGTGAATGAGAAGCTGGAGCTGGAGAAAATTGACGTTTGGTATGATCCCTTGGATATGTTTCGCCAGATTGCCCGCGAAAACACGGAAGCTGTTGCCGACACGACCTCGGTGACTGGGGGCTGCCCTTTTTCTGGAGCTGCGAAGACCGCTGCCTCTGAATAATGCAGTGGCATGAACTTGTATACCTACCCCTATATGCGTGATGGAATGTATGAACAATATCGGGACTATGCTATTCAGAAAAAATTCCGTTTATCGACGGGATGTAAGATGCCTAGTTGAGGCTATGTGCCACTTCTTTTCTTTTCGTAGAGCCAGAATGACTAGCCGTGATGAGGTGAAGCCTGGTAAGTCATAAGACTTCAGTACTCCGCAAATGAAGATATTTAATTTGAGAACCAAAGCGCTAAGCATGGACATACCTAAGCATACAATATTAAATCCATTAATGTCTATTATACGTATGTCCCGTCATCTAGAATAATCATAGGAGCAAAACTATTACTCATGAGTAACCTCCACAGTTCTGTGTACTGTTATGTCTTTAGACTGTTGTGGGCTTGTATCGGAATCCCTCATGATGTCAGCTCTATAGCCACGTTCTCGTGTCGGAGTTAAAACCAACTCATACGCGTCCGGCATGATGCCTTCATGCGAGTGGCTGATGATCGAATGTGCCGAGTCGGTACGATATCTCGAATGTGATCGCGAATGGGAGTGCAATACCGCCAGACCTCGTTGCGGTCCGCTCGGCTTCGATGTCCCCGACGTGTAGTTGGAGCGAACGGTAGAGCGCAGGCAGCGAAAGACCTGTTGAAGAAGAGGCCAGAGGAGTGGCACATTGGAGACGTAGACCGCGGTAGCTACCTCCGCGACATACCATTTCTGTCTCACTGTTTAGCAAGTCGTTGGGATACACATCGGTGAGCGGACTAACCAAGAACCGAGGGTCGGTGAGTTTGGAGAAATTATAGTACTTATTCAGAGCTGCCATAAGTATCTAGGCACCGGTCAGCGATCTACCTCAGTAGGGGCGTATTAGATTCACAGACAACGATCCCACCGAGACTGAACACAGCACACACGGCAACCTTTCTGCGATTGACCTTAGTTATGTACTTGGGCATGCCCACACGTCAGGGGTGTCCTTACTGCTTGAAAGGTAAGTGTGATCGGATGAAGAGCGGCAATGGGATACACAACATCATCACATCTGAGGAGATATTGAAAACGGTTGTCGTGATCAGATGATTCAAGTAGGTCCCACACTGGACTATAAGATAATCTAGTTGTCAGCTCACGTATCGAGTTTCTACATCAATCGTATCATACAGTCATTAGCTTCAAGATCCCCTGTAACCCATTAGCGGTGTTCTGAGCCATGGTATAACAAATGACATACAGTAATGAGTGATCGGCCTGCACCAGACTCCTAAGAAGAGGACCTCGATGACAATAAAAGAGATCACTACATAGACCGCAACGATTTTCACAGCTAAATGCTCCTTCATCATAAGCCTACCAATGAAGTGCATTAGCCTTCCAGCGCGCAAAAGCTCCGGACATTGGCGTACGTTAGACGGTTGTAGATGATGAGAAGGCAGCCCTTGACTAGCCATATTGTAACCAGAGCGAACTGTTCCAGCATGAAGATCGCTTTGTTCCCCCAAACCATGAGCGCTTCGGCATGTGGTGTAGGCTGCTCTTCATGAACAATGGGATCACTGCTAACCCGAGCCGTGATATTCGCTGTAACAGTGACCCCAGTGAAGGTGAGCTATGCGGTTCTGTCAATTCCAATGCATCTCCTGCCGCCGTCCAACCATGCACGTACCGCAATTGCACACATAAGCGCATCATCGATTTGTAGTTTGCTCCATGACTTTAACCGTATGCGTCGAGAAACTCTATCTCTGGTAAGTACTTCTCTCCATTGTAGTCAATGTAAGTGGGAACGAACAGCCGACATCCGATAATTACAATCCCTATATCACCTTGATGTCAATGATCGTAGCGGGCGCTGCTGCCGACGGACGATAACTTACCGACTGCATATAAGATCCAGGACTCAATAGCGAGTTCCCTAGCAAAAGGGTACATAATGCCAAGTTCACCTCGAATCCGTAGGATCTCCGGTGTCTCAGATGTTGCTCATATATACCGACCTATGTGCCCAGTCCAATGTGTGCATTTTTCATTGGGGCTAGGCCAAATAAGCTGTTCACTCGACACATAATATAAAAAGATAAGACCTTTAAGTGCCACGCGGAGACTGGTCTGTCGACCCATGGCTCTAGAAGACCGAATCGGTCGCGGAGCCGTTCCATAAGAAGCTCCCCTGTTATTTGGCCTCAAACTTTAATAAAGCCTATCAGTTGGAGGTCAAGACCGGCCCGGCTTAGCTTTACGCGCCAGTGCGTTGGTGTTAGGGCTCGGCCAGCCTTTGGGTTGATCTCAGAAGGTTAAACACGGCCCAGGCCAAAGTGGGAAAGTATATTACGAGCACATATCGCGTGCCCTGAATCACGGAATAGACTGAGAAGAAGGCGACATGACTAAGGATTTTCATATCCTTGTCTTTTTTATCTGAAAACTGAGAACTGGAGAGTACTTGATGATTGGTCGTGTTCAAGGCACACACCCCAGGAGACGGTGTAAGACATGTTCATCATAAACTCTCATGCGTGGCAAAATCCTGCAGGAACGCTTCAACCTCCAATGCTTGTATGACTCGGTGTTCGAATAGTACTGGGCGTCATGACTTTAACTCAGATATAGTGCCGTGCGGGCAAGGCGACAAGCCGAGACATCCATCAATCGAGATTGGGAGACCGTGCCAAGCCGGCGACGTTTGACAAAAGCGGTAGATAAAGGCGCCCAAGGGCAGTGTCTATGTACAATATTAGGTTTGCTGCAAAGTAAAACATCCTGCGATAGGGATCCTATACGCAACTATGCAGTGTGCGCACCTTCCTGAGACATCAATAGACTTCCGGGTGCATAAGCCCCCATGCTCCGCGGCTCGGCCACGTTCATATCCTGAACTTTCCTGCCGCAGTCGATTATCCGATCGTCGGTGTTGGTGGAGGCCTGGTGGGTCTTATGTTGAACTTGGGAATGAAAGCGCAGATCTCCCCGGCACACTGGGCGCAGCACTGCCTGCCACCTCTTTCCAAACTGGTATAGCGAGACGATCGAAGTTTCATTCAGACCCCACAGAGTCGCCTGGCAAGGAAGGGACTCATAAGATAGTCATGGCTTCAGAAACAAGTCGTGGTCGGCGCTTGTCTGATGGAGTTCCTATCGTGGATTAAGGACTTTCCTCGGCATTCCAGGGCATGTGAAGGGAGGGCTGAGGCTCGAAGAATGTTGGATAGCCCATCAACCAAAGGATCACTTGCTCTGGCGTCATGGAAATTGGTCGACACGCTACCTCGGGGGTATTTCGGAAAATTATTACTAGACCTATTCGTATACGAAGCTACACGACCGCAACTAACCTTTCATTTATGAGCAAGCCTCGAATACTAGAAAATTCAAGGGGTTTTGAATGGTGGCCTCTGATTAGCTCACTTCTATTGATCCAACTACGGGGCTTCAGTATTTAGGCTGCTCTATCGGCGATATTATTATTACCTGTTTATTTTGATTATCTATCATGAATTCAGCCGCAAGGCCCGGGGTCTATCTCCGACCTGGAAATGTTACAGCAGCGCCCTTCTGGGGATCATCAGGCCTGGGCAGTTCTGCCGTGACGTGGATGCTGGTTTGATGCCAGATTTCGAGTGGGATTCCTTGGTGGGATTGTTGCTCGGGGTCCTCCTTCATAATCTCTTCCACGCTCTCCGTTTTCCGTACCCCAGACATGCTGACGGATGTCCAGAGGCTCTTTTTCTGTGACGCTGTGTGTCGTCTCGTCCTACTATGCGTTCCCGTTCCATATCCGTAGGGGGTGTAGTGGTGGGTCCTGCCTTTGCTGTGCGAACTGCCGGTCCAGGAACTGAGGTTGAAGACGCGGCGGACCAGACTCCAACAGTTGGGGATGTTGGCGACGCAGACGGCGGTGCTGGCCTCGCGGACGTACCAGAAGAGCCATTGGGGGCTGAAGGGATCTTTGAAGCTGGAGACTTTGCTGAGAGTGGCGCATAGGATCTAAGGGTCATTAGTCGCGATCGGTGGGGCTGGAAAGACTGCCGGTCTTACAATGAAGGCTCCCATGCTGAATACACCCACTAGAGTGATTTTACTACAATCCTGCTGTTAAATTCTGCACGAAGCCTACGTCGTTTGGAACGTACCTGCGCAGTGGCAACCTGGCCGATATGAGGAGCGGCAGCGGAATGCACATCATAAGAATGTCTGAGGAGATATTGAAGACCATTGTCATAATGAGGTGATGTGTCGCGGTCGAACATTGTGCTGGGAGTACTAGTCAGCGACAGGGCCTTTCAGAGAAAAGCGACCACATACCGTTGGGTGTGGGCACAGCCCAGTAGTTGTGGAATGGCCGACACCAAACCGCGAAGTAGAGGATCTCCAAGAGAATGTATGAGCCAACCACATAGCCAGCCAGGATCTTGACGGCCAGTTGTTGCTTAATCCCTTCCCTATCACGTTCTCAGCGCAGTGTTCGATACCCACGGACAGTGAAACTCACGTCAACCTGGCGTAGAGGAGAAGAAGACAGCCTTTGCATCCCCAAATTGTCGCTAGCATGCATTGTTCAGTTGCCAGCACCAGTTTGCTACCATAAACGCGGTTCTTGATCGACTCTGGTGTTAAATGCGCTTCCTCGCCCGGTTTCATTAAATTCGTTTGCGCATGTTCGATCCGATTCAATGTAACCACCAGCCCTGTGTAGAAGCCCTGTAGAAAGACGAGTAAGAAAAGGTCGGTCTATGTGTATCTTGGTCGGTGGCGACATACCAATACTAGGAGCATCAGATAGTCCTCCACCTGCAGGCTCTTCACACTTTTGACCAAGAGCAGTCGCGATATGCTGGAGAGTGGACATGTAAGTATTTGGAAGATTGATAGGCATCAGGCCTGAAGACACTCACAATCGCAGAATTATCACGAATACCGTGACCCCATACCAAATCCACGACTCAACTGTGAACTGGGACATGGTTTCTCTGCATCGCTAAGCCGGGTTTCTCAGCACCCTGGAGAGTTGTTCCCCAGATGGGTGCACGTCAGGTTACATATGATAACTGTCGGAGCACCGGGGATTAAATCTCAGCCAAGAAGTGGAAACCGAATCCTGGTCGCATGGCATCGTCGGTATACGGCGTACGCTGCAACCTACAGAGACTGGTTCGAAACCGCCCACGGCGCAGGCAAAGTTAATTTCGACAAAAAAGCATGCGTATTATGGTAACTACCAGTGACAATGCGGCTACGTCAGCCGGGGGATGGCAAGGAGGCCCTAACCTTGGTGATTTCGAGGCCCCTTCTGGAAGACGAGGTTTAGGGCAGTATTCTGACATGATTGGGGGTCTGGTCGAGTGGAGCTCTGGTATGGGGCTCCAAAGTCTCCACCGTGCACCGTGGAAATACGAGCCTGCGCCTATCAAATCCCATGTCACGTCACTTTCCCTTGGAGACCACGTTTGGGGCAAACGCTATTCGAAACCCAAATACCGCGGTGCCATTGGTTCTATGCCACCTGCCATACGTGGCATGGTACGCCTCTTGACATTTTAAATGCGATGGTAGTTTGGGCTTCTCATTGGCGACTCAGCTCGTACCCTGCGCAGACCATATTCCGACCCTTGCCACACTATCGCCATGCGCCCCTGAACGCACGCGTAGTGTCTGGCTGGCATGATGTAACGACGTAAGTAGAGTCCCTGGACCCTGACAAATTACCAGAACTAGCGGCAGGCCTCGGAAGATCCCTGGGAAACGACAGATTTCTCACTCCAAGCAAAGTGATTCTTGTCAATGGTCTTCTAGAACTTCCTGTCTCAATTCGGGATCCATAAAAGTAAACTGAGATTGGACCGTATATTGAATACCTCCTTTCAGTAGTTATCAGTTTTCTTCCAAGTATATTAGTGCGCGATCGGCTGAGGCGAGGGATTCGGCCAAGTAGAGATCTTGCATGGGATCGAGACCAAGCCCGACTCGACCAGACCAGATCAGGCAAGAAAGCCAGTTCATTTGGATCGTGTTAAGATAATCTCCTCTTGCTCTCCCCACTCGCTTATTGCCGAATGTCCGTCTGGAAATGCTGGATAATACCTCACGTCTTATGATCCTTGATTACGAGATTGAAAAAAGACGCACATCCTAGAACATAACATGGCTAAGGCCCCTTTTATAGTTGTCTGGCTCATGGTGAGCAGATTACCCTCTTGGCATCTTTATACTAGTACGCTAAAAATAACTGGATGGCCTGGAATACTGTCGTTTGGATCATACGATCAATCGCCACAATCCGCGAACGGTGGACCCTAAAAGTGACATGCATCAAGCCTGTTCATGCGCGAACCATCGCTCATATCCACCGTAGGTTTACGTGCCCTCCTGGTGCTAACCAAGCATTCAGACTAAGAGGTCATTGATTAACGATCATGTGTTCATTGTACATGCTTTAGTGCTTCTGTGTTAACGCTATTAGGTATGGCTATGATTCACGGGCCATGGTTCACAAACCCGCATTCCTTAAGATTGTCTAAGCCTGTTCAATGTGCTTAGACGTTCCGTTGGCCGACAGCTTGTCCTCCAGTCTCTCTCCTTGAATCTCATCGCGTGATGGGTAAGCCACCTGGTAAACGGTGTACCACGGTCGCTGGAACAGGCTATCCAACTCCTCGAGGGATCTTCCTGTGGTATCCTAACAACGGTCAGCGGCGATATTATTTAACTAGGAGAGGAATGCTCACCGGCATGGCAAAGAAGACATAAACCAATGATGTCAAACAGATACAGCCAAAAAACACAAAGGCTCCCCATTTATGCGTAGCTGCGAGGAGACTCGGCATAGCACGCGAGCATGCAAAGTAAAATGCCCAATGAAACGCCATGGAAATGGACATGTTCAACGACCGAATCCTAATAGGAAATATTTCTGAACCAATCAGGTAAGGGATACTGAACCAACCAATACTCCAGGCCACCGCGTGGAGGAAGATCGCAACGATAGCCGCAGTAGACGTGCGAGAGGCGCTGGGAGTTGCACCAATCTCATCGGTTGAGAGATGGCTAGTGACCCCGAGGTATGCGCCCACAAAGATCAAGGTGATCAGTTGGAGGCAAATTCCGGTGATCAAAGATCGCCGTCGTCCGATAAAGTCTACAATGAACAACGCAAAGCACACCGTGCTCACGAACTTCACCACCCCGTATATTCCAGTTGCCAGGAATTTGGCCTCATCACCGTCGATACCTAGGTACCCAAAGATTTGGGGTGAATATTGGGTAATGGCGTTGGCCCCAGACCATTGAGAGAAAAGCGTCGCCATAAATATCAAGAAGAAGCGACGGCGGTTCTCGACAGGGACAAAGGTCTCCTTCAGTAGGTCCCATACGGTCGCATTACTGACTGCCTCTGTTTCATGCAATATCTGAGCATCCATACCGGCTAGTTCAGACAGGATCACGGAGTGATCGCGAGGCAAGTGGCGAAGCTTGGACATGGTCTCTGCTGCTTGTTCTCGTTGGCCCTTGTATAGAAGCCATCGAGGAGACTCCGAGCATAAGAAAGTTCCGAGTCCCCAGACCACAGCGGGGACAATCTGAAGGAGAGTGGGGAGCATCCATTGCTCGTCAACGCCTGGATACTGTTTCGTCACTCCGTAGTTGATGAAAAATCCCAATACTACACCTAGCTGCTGGCACGCCGCGAACAGGACGGTAAGAAGACCGCGAATAGCTTTGGGCGAGATCTATCAAACTTAGGTGAGCAGATGCCACCATAACAAACGCACAATTGGGCGCGACATACCTCAGTAATATAGACTGGAGGAACAATTGACAACGGGCCAATTCCCAAACCTGCAATGAATCTGGATGCATAAAGGCCGGAGAGGTTTCCACCGCAAAGCCCTTGGCCCAAGACGCCAGCGATATAGATGACTGTAGCAATGCGCAGCGTCCAACGTCGACCAAAGCGATCGTTAATAGGGGAGCACTACATACGCCATTGCATAAGTGTGACTGATTCTTGTGTTGAATTGTAGCAAAAGCAACTCACCCCAAGACACCCAAAGACTGCTCCAGCCGTGGCTATAGATACTAGCCACCCCTTTGTATTGGCATACTCATCCTCCGATTGTGTGTCGACACCAAATCGGGCCTTAAAATGAGCTTGCGTAACGACTGAGGCAATGTTTCCTGTGATAGACTCATGAATTAATATTACAGCAAGGGCGAAACTTCCACACTTGGCAAGAGATCGTTGCTCACCTTCATCAAACCCTTTGGACACGCCAGAAAGAGCGAAGAAACATGTACACATCAAGACATAAGCATTGAAAACTTCTTTGGGAGCATCTTGCATAGCCCTTTTTGCATCGGCGATAAGTCCCATGATGTGCGGATCTTGGAACGAAATCTATAATCCGTAATCGAGAGAAATACAACGATGTGCTTCTACCCTCTATTTAGAGGTACAGCAGTTCAAAAGTTGGAATTTGGTACTAGTACGTTCAAGCTTATACGGACGTTAGGGTTTCAACTCCATACCACACGGCCATCGGAAAATATCCGACGCTCCACCGGCCTCATGGCCCCATGGGGTAAACAGAGTTTTTCGGGTTCATATATAGACTCAGATATACCCCTCCGCCTGTAGCCAATGGAGCGTAGATTGTCCGTCGAAAATGAATTTCTATCCAGTTCCCCCGGTGATTCAGGCCGAGATCTATGCACGCATTCCCGACTCCCTCAGGTGCACCGGCCAGCCCACTGAGTGGCGCAGCGGGTCAGCTCTTCCAGTGTCTGACATTTTCCTCGAAGGTCCCACTTACGTTGCCGATGGGAGTCTCTACATAGTAGACGTCCCGTATGGTCGAATTCTCAAAGTGGACGCGGAAAAGCAGGTAACGGAGTGCGTTCGCTGGGATGGCGAGCCGAACGGGCTTGTGGTGCGAGAGGATGGCTGTATCGTGGTTGCAGACTATAAGCAAGTATGTGACCTGGATTGAATGTATCGCTTGTAAATGTCTCTTAATTAATCGATTGGAATAGGGACTTCTTCTATTCGATCCTTCTACAAATACAATATCCCCAATGCTTACTCGGCGCAACCTCGAGAGGTTCAAAGGCCCTAACGACCTGATCATCTCCTCCACCAACGACATCTACTTTACCGATCAGGGCCAAACGGGAATGACCGACCAGACCGGCTGTGTCTATCGGCTCTCGCCCACGGGCAAGCTTGACTGCCTGGTCTCCAACGGAATTTCCCCGAATGGCCTGGCCCTCTCGCCCGATGAGCGGTTTTTGTACGTGGCCATGACTCGGTCCAATGCCGTCTGGCGACTTCCTCTCCATGCCGATGGGTCTACTACCAAAGTCGGTCTCTTCTTCCAGTCCTTTGGATGTGCGGGACCTGACGGACTTGCCGTGGACGAAGAGGGGAATGTATTCATCTGCCATCCCAGCCTCGGTTCGGTGTTTGTCGTGGATGCGGACGGTGTCCCCAAGGCCAGCATTGTAACAGCGCCAGGTGGTGGAAAGAATCTGACGAACTGTACCTTTGGTGGCCCGGATGGGAAAACATTGTTTATCACAGATAGTCTCAAAGGCAATGTGCAATGTGTGCAATGGCACTGTAGGGGAGTGCCAGTATCGAAAAGGGTGAAACAAGCCAAGATATAGATCATAAATATCAATGAATTGAATTCTAACTTCATCACGTCCACATTAATCACCTATTTACAGTCACAGTCTTGACAGATATTGATACAGGTTATCCACTGCTGCCGTCGCACAGGCCAATTGTGCTCTTGAAGTGGCAGCGCCAATGTGTGGTGTGCTAATGACATTCAAATTCTTCCAAAGGGCCTCGTACTTCTCATGGCTGGGTGGCTCTTGCTCATGACAATCCAGTCCTGCGCCCCACAGATACCCTTCCGATAATGCCTTGGTGAGGTCGGCCTCGTTGACAATACCACCTCGAGCGGCATTGATGAGAATTGCGTCGGGCTTCATTGCTCGAATTTGCTGGTAGGAGATCATGCCCCGAGTCTCTGTGGTAAGGGGGACGTGGATAGAGAGCACGTCTGCCTGGGCAAGCACCTCATCGACGCTCTTTGCCCTGGTATGTGGGATATGGGACCATACATCCTCGGGCATGTACGCGTCGTAAGCTACAATGTTTGCGTCGAAGCCACCACGGAAGATCTCCGCCACTGTGCGTCCGATGTTCCCCATACCGATGATGCCGATCGTCTTCTGGTACAAAGCCAACCCATTGCAGGTCTCCTTCGGGACGGGCTTCAGCATTTGCCGGGATGTGATGGACCGAATCCCCCTAGCAACCGACAAGGCCAGTGTGACGACCAGCTCCGCAACGTCTCGCGCATTGGCACCCGGGGTGTTGAGGATCTTGATACCCCGTTGTGCACAAGCATCCTGATTGATCTTGTCGATTCCCACGCCGTGCTTACCGATGGCAATTAAATTCGGGCAGCTCGCGATGTCATCAGCCGTAACATACGAGCTTCGCACTAACAGCGCTCTTGCATTTTGCCGCCAGTTCTTGAATTCTTCATCCTGGGGCTGAACAAGATCGAACAAGGTCTTAGCGTACTCGATGGCCTTGGGAGGGAAGGTGTCAAGAACGTAGACGGTAGGCTTGGATCCAGCAGTCGAAGGACCTGTGGATGATGAGGGTTCTGTAATTCCGGGGGCCATATTTGCGGTATACTCGATAGCTGAATACTTCCAACCGATTTGACTGTTTGGTAGAGGTGATAGCATTATCCATGGTGGTATATATGATTGATCGGACCGGAATCCGTCCGACGGGCGTCTTCCGGGTCATGCACGCCATATCCGGAGAAAGTCCTGAATCAGACCTTGCATCGGATCCGAGACTATCTCTGGTAGTTCATCCAAAGCCTATTGTCAGACTTATTAGTCTATAGTATGCTTAAGATGATGTGGGGGGAACTTACCGGGTCGTGGTATGCTCCTTGCGCAGCCACACTCGATAGAGCTAGGAGCAGTTTCCTGAGCACCTTGAGTGATTGAAACCGCTCCCCAATTGTCGTCAATAGGGCTGTACATTTGCTAATAATAGCTGTTTCCCGTGGAGGCCCTGCCAGGGCCGACAAGGAAGGAAGACAAATGACAAGTACACCCGCCACGAAGAGGTCGAACCCGTCGATGAATGATGCTACAAACTTTCCTTGTTCGGAGTAATAGTATGCATCATTTATATACGCTTGGCAGCCATCGACGACGTCGTGTTCAACTGCTCGTGTGTCTCCCACTATGCCACCACTGGATTGTGTGCCTCGGGTCAATAATGCAATCTGGGTCAACGCTCTGCAGGTGAGCTGCTCTATCGAGACGGAGAGGGCACTGTCGCCAGAAGCAAAGTCCTTTACTGACTTTGGTAAATCTCGCCAGTAGCTTAGGTTGCGGTAGTGGTACAAACGCCCTCGGGAAGAAGAGCTCCGCACACTGGACATAAGTCGAGCATGCATGATGATATGGCAACCAAAGTCAAACTCAGCTATTGTCTTGGAGGTAGAGTTATAGACTGGAAGCTTGAAGGTGTTAGCAGCTGTCAATAAACGCCATACAATGTGCTCTTACCTGAACCAATATATCTTCGTCTTCAATACTAAACGGGCGGTCCATCACACAGCTTATAGTTCTGCAGCATCGTCAGCCATGCCTCCTCACGTCAAAATCACCTCGTACTATTCGACTCACCTGTCAAGTACATAAAGGGCCCAGAAGATGCTGCGCCTGCTGTTCAGTTCTTCTTGACTCGTGTCGGAGTCTGAGTACAACTCCCGGTGCAATCTAAACGAGATGCATTTTTGCATTGCCAATCCCACCAGGTGCCAAGTGGATCCTCCGAGCGAACTGAACATAGAATACAAAACCAATGACCACAAACAATATAGGGTCTTCACACAGTCCCCCTGCTCTATAATAACAGTAAATCTCTCCGTCGCTGCTGCATGCAAACCAGTCGCCAATAGCTCGCTGCCAGGCTCGGGTGAAAGTAACATTCCAATGGCCACAGCCATGTAGACTCTGAACTCCAAGAACGCGGTCCTTGAATTGAGGCCCTTTGTAGCACTCGACTGCCCTCTACGGGCCTCAAAGCAGCTGTCAAATTCACCCTGTAACTTGCCCCGGTCGATATGAAGAAACATCACCCCGATGTGGTCGAGGAAACGGTTCATGTAAGGTGCGGCAAACTCTTTGCTGATCCCCGTCGCAGGCCCCATCATGGTCACGAATGTTCGTCGATGATGGCACAAATCTTGAGACTGTGATGGATCCTCGCCTGAAATTACCAAGGCGGCTTTCACCATACTTCCTGTGGCTAATTCTTGAGGGAATCCACGAGATTCGTCGCGTGGCTCTGCCATCGCATTGCGGGACAAGAATCCAATCTCCCCCATTGCAGCCTGTACCGACCGCTCACTGAAGCTGGTGGGAGCCGTTGACGGTGTCTGATTCGAGTCTCCTGGGCTACCTACCAAAGTAGACTCCATGTTCGGCGACGGTTGTGGTGGAACCGACCCATCCCTTTCTCGACGTGCCCTTTGCTGTCGAAACTGCGCATCTAGCTCATCCCTTTTTCTCTTGAGAGTTTCCACATAGCTAGATTCCGTTATTAGCCCTGTTCAGCTTTCCACACTGCGAAACACGCACTTTGGTACGGCAGCATGCGAGAGGCCACTGCCCTCTTCTGTAGTGGGCCCGATAGGAACGCGCCGGGGGGCACATTGCGCATCAGCTTCCACACAGGTCGTGCATGCCGGCAATTGTCTATCACACTATGATGGGTTAGCTTCACATGCTGGGTGTACAATATTGGTCAAGACCTTTTGCTTGCGCTTCCAGCATCTCTCGCAGGCCTGGAGTCTCCGTGCATTGGCTGCGGCCGAAACAGGGGATGTCCGATGGCTAGACTCCATGTCCGATAACTGAACGATAATAGCGGGGAAAGACGACAGTCCTATCGGACCTTGTGCTGGGGCAAAGCAGCGCTAAGTAGGCGTCAAGTCGTCGAAAGTGGATATTGTCTGAGGGCCGTTGGACGGATCTTTCCCGATTACCTTACAATACCCTCAACGCTCGGCAGATTCCCTCCCATACATTGCCGAAGCTATTCAAACTTCTATCATAGATTCATACTTTGTGGCCCCCACAACCTAACATGACCATAGCGTTCCGCTATTTTCACATAGCGCCAAGTCATGAATGATACAGCTCTCATACGAAGATGTAAACGCGGGGGTTCGTCCAAACCTAGCGAGACACTCCTGGCCAAGCACTCATCGGGATAGCGTCGCTAAGCTTTATAACCCAGAATTGGTCTTTGATTGCTTTTATTTGATCTAGGCCAGACTGGCGGACTTAGGTAGACTTGGACATTATCCTTGGAACTTCCCAGTAGTCATATAGGGTTAGCCAGATGGTCCATAGCAGTAGCAAGCCTGTCCCTCCACGTGTGGCTTGCCCTCTATGGGATAAATTTCATGCCAAGCCAAATTTTTCTGTATCAATTTATACACTAGTGGTACCAAATATTGCCGGGGCTCCGCATTCTTTCCCCGCGAGTGGCCATGCGCCATGCATGGAGTCGTCAACTCCCCAAAGGGAAGTGCTTGCATGTATCTCTCTGCCTATACCTACTCAGCAAGTCGGAAGCATACGCGCCGACAGGTATGATAGAAGTAGATCTTGTATAAGCCCACCCTGTGGTGATCATGATCCACAGTACCGGGGGGAAACATGTCCCTCGACTTCCAGCCTGTCAATCGTGTTATACAAAAAAGATAAAGGTATTCTCATTGATCTACACTGATGTCCGACTTGGCAGAACGTGGTTGCTGACTGCAGATAGTGCGATAATGCGCGACCAAAATGTATGCCTTGTGTAAAGAGTGGCCATGCATGCTTCACCGTTAGCCTCGGGGGGACTGTTCCGGTTTCAAGAGAGTAAGCCTGACATTGTGCCAAGCACGTCTGTCCATGGCCCCCTATGCTTACGCTCTAAATAGGTACATCTATGAACTAGAGCAGCATGTACAAGGTCTCCAGACAGAGATGACCGTGGTGGAAGGTCAAGAGGTGGGCCGAGGATATTCTCACTCCACGGCAGCAGTGACAGAGAGCCCAACGCCGACACGACCTGAAAGACATAATCAAGCGCCGGAACCTCCGATAGCAATACAGAGTAATGATGTGATTTCACCACCCAGTATCACGGAGGGGGTCGGGATCAGGTATGCTCTGGGGCCTTGGATTGAGGGTCAGCTCTGATCGTAGAATCACAGTTTTATGAGCTTGCTTTTTGCTGATGCCAGGTGGCGAGACCAAAATCTAAAGCTTTTGCAAAATCTCTCCCATTCTTCTGGCATTCTAGAAACTTCGGTGCAGCCGAATTCTCTTCCTCCTGCGGAGGAAGCATTGGCAGTGTTCAACAACTAGTAAGTGACTGGATTGCCACTTACCAATCGAGAGCTGAAACGGACGTATGAAAGCTTGAATGTATCCCATGTGCAGAACCCATTCCTGCTCCGCCGAGACGTACAGAGATTGTACCATTCCGTCTTTTCAACAGGCCAAGCAGATCCTGCCTCGCAAATACTGGACCATCTAACAAAGCACGACGCCTTTCGTACCTTTATGATTCTTGCTGTTGGATCGGTCATGTTATATCGATCCGGCGCTCATAAACACCACCCTTACGGCTACTTCCTCACCGCGTTACAATATATCGATACAAATATCTTGTCAAGGGGGTTGGATTCTATTCAGGATCTATTATTCGTCGCGAGGTTCGGCATCTATCATCACATCGGTACGTGTCCAGCTTTCCCATGCCGGTTCTAGCTAATACTTTGCAGGTACATCAATCTGGGAGCTGACCACACTATGTATGAGGATGTGCATCGAGCAAGGCCTTCATAAGTTGCCTCGGCCCACTATGAGACGCAAAATGACACTTCTGCAAGAGCAGTTGCAGCGCCGGGTCTTCTGGGAATGCTACATGATCAGTCAGTACAGCTCAATCACACTGGATCGTCCAGCTGCAATTGCGGATAGGGATATCCAAGTTGGGCTTCCTGCCGATGCCGATGATGAAGAGATCGATGCCGCTGAGGCATCTGGATCGTTCTCGGATCTCGACTCTTTCTGCAAAGCCACTACAAGGCCTACTGCGATGGGGAACACCGAAATGACGGTGTTTTTCTATTGCCTGCGGCTGCGCAAAATCACTTCAAAGATTCGGTCCAAGTTTCAACAAGGCAGTGGGTCCCCTAGCAATGTTGGGCATGCGTGGACAATGGACTCCATCACCGCGAGTGGGAGGATCTATGCAGATCTAGAGGAGTTACTGTCGGAGCTCGAGGAATGGCGGCGATCGGCTCCCATGTTCTCTAATCCACGAGGCTTGTACCACACACAGGAATGGTATGATCTGCTGTTACTGAGGGAAAAACTGCTTCTAGTGCGCAAGGCCATCGACCTGGTGCCGAAGCGGAACAATATCCCCCCAGGCGACCTCCTCTTGATCTGCCTCGAGTATGCCATCGGTACCATTGCGAAGTTCTGCCCTTTGTTTGAGCAAGGGAAGATTACCTACACTCGGAGTTATTTCCAAATGCTGTTCACTGCCGGTCTCTCGGTAATGCTCTGGGTATCGGTGGCAAGTAACCATGATACAGAGACGATGGTCAAGGCGGCAGACGCGGTAAAACAGAGCGGAAAAGCATTAAAACAGATGGGGCGTGAGATGCCAGATGCGACTCCTTACGTGTCTGTCTATGAGGCCTTACAAGTACATGTATTAGGGAAGTACAATGTCGCGTCTAGGACAACGCAGCAAACGGGAGGATACCTCGGGCAGACCCAATCCCAGTACACGGGGATGGACGGTATGCTTCATAATCAAAACACGACAGGTGAATATCATTCTGTTGAACAAAATCCTTCACAGTTTGGCAGCCACTGGCCGCCCCTACTCAATGATTTAGGCACACATCAGCAGCTGGATCATGGACCTTCCACCTACGCTTCTCTTCTTTCACGAGATCTATTCGGAGACAACACATTCTGGAATGTGGAAGTGGGACTGGGGGAATATGCGTATGGGGATCCGATGTTTCTTTTCTCGGGTATAGCAGATGACAGCGTATAATATGTACATAGAACAAACGAAGGATTCACAACTGTTCCCCTCCTCTAGGGCTCCTTCTGTAAACGCTCACTAATTTCACCGTAGTTCTTGCTCATCTGCTTCAATCCTGCTTGCAGCATGGACGCATCCTGGCCACTCAAGGACCAGGTTGCTCCCATCTTGAACCACTTTTCTAGGAGGTCCAGTCGCCCGCCAATACCTCCAATACCCACCGGCTTGCCAGCTCGATTAGCCGCCTGGATCACCTTGATGACAGCATCTTGATACAAGTCACTGTCATACTTTCCGGGAATGCCCAGGTCGGTACACAAATCGTTAGAGCCGACCAAGACCCCATCGACTCCCTCAACTGCGAAAATCTCGTCGGCAATCTCCACTGCTCCCGGAGTCTCAATCATCGGAATCAACATGGTCTGCTCGTTTAGAATCTCATTCTGCACGAGTGTCGGGACATGCTGGAAGTTCATCACTGCCTGGTTGTTGGTGCATCCCCGTGTTCCCAGAGGGGCAAACTTGGCATGCTTCACAATCTCCCGGACCTCCTGGACGGTCTCGATATGCGGGATCACAACTGCCGCAGCACCGGCGTCTAAGATGCGGCTGATATGCCAGTGTGACTTGGATGGTGAACGGACGACGGGAGAGACACCGGCATAATTGCAGGCGAGGATAAGTTGGGCGACAGTGCGCATGTCGAGGGCGGAATGTTCCATATCAATGAACATAGCATGAACACCGGCCATCTTGCACATCATAGGGATTTCATTGCCAGTGACAAACTTAATAGACATCAGCGGTGTGATTTGGCCATTTAGAATCCTGGTCCGAAAGGGGTTGTTGAGGGTGTATGCTGGATGTGCGATGGAACCCATGATGAAGATAATGATATGTGATGGTCTGGTAAAGTGAATCTGAAAGCGTAAGTCACGATATCTGTAACCAAATAATCAAGTCAAGGCCCTCTTCTAAGTCATTACATCTTCTCACTTAAGTATTCCCTGATTCTGTGCTGCTGTTCTGACGCATTCGGAGGATTTCCGATGGAAGCCCTACTGAGTCAGGGACGCAGAACGTCGGACGGATTGTATCCGAACACTAGCCCACTAGTATCCTTCGAACTATCGGACCTCCGTATACTGAGCCGTAATCTATGGTTATCAGACTTTATCAGACGTTCCATTGGGGTCTGAATTCCGACCGCAATTCCCCCCGGCAGTGGGTTCCCCACGGGGACAGCTGAAAATGAGAGGAAATCGAGCAAGACATGTCATACCTCGTGGCTGTGGTGTCCACCTATTATTAATACACAAGCTGTGATATAGATGAGGTGCCTCTCGGGGAATTGTTGGCTTTGAGTACCGGATCATGGTTTACTATAGTTCACATAGATGTACGTTGAATACCACCTTGTGGTCGTTGTGATATTACTCCGACGACAGATTCCCTAACTTCATTCAAGGCAAGCTAAATGCAACGCTATCGTGAGACAACAAATCATCATGGCTTAGCTATATACTATATAGGTAAGCCTTCGTATAAATTTCTCTCAAACTATTCCCGTCCCAAATTGTGATGCATATCTGGTACGTTAAGTCGCGTACCGCCATTCCGTGACATTTCCACTGACAGCCTCAGCCTCGTCCAGTTTCTTATTCTTCCTCATACACCACCAGCGCGTGATCAAACAACAGATCACAGACAGTCCGCATCCGGCGATAATAATCCCTCCGCCTGTTTGGTACCGTGGCTCTTGGGACCGAAGGAAGAAATACGGGGTGAACCAGTGGGACACGGAGGACACGCAGTTAGCAATGGCGATCAAAGCTGCTCGTTTCGTCCGTGGACGAGGTACAACGGTGGTTTCCCAGGATATTTGGATCTAGGAAATTAGTCAATCGGTTCTCGGACTTCTGGGGTCAAGGGAATACTCACGTTCAACCCAACGAATGGTCCCGTGCACAGTAAGATCAAACTAAAATAGCGAGCGCCCCGGTCCAATGTTGATATCATGATAACCGCTCCCGCTAGCGAGACGAGTATCGGTCCGATAATATGCCAACAATGGTCCCCCGTCCTGCCGGAGGACCAGGAGATGATGAGCGTGGAGATGTAGGCAATCACATACGGTGGGGCCTGTACAAGATAGGTCACGACTTCGGAGAAGTTGAGAGTCTTCACTATCTTTACATGTGTCAGTAGGTCTATTGATGACATCCTCTGCATGGCTCGGTCTTACCGATGGAAAGAAGTCTTTGAACGACTGGGCGATGATAAGCGCGAAATGAATAGCAGCGAAGCACCACGTAAAAGGATCCTTGACTGCAAGCAGCACTCCTCCCCAGTAATCGCCTTCCTCATCTTCACGAACTCCACCCGCGTTAACCACTTGTCGATATTGTGCCATGGCGGCTTCTTCCTCCGTGAACCACGAGCGACCAGTGTTGTTGGGAAAATTTGGGATGAACCAAAAGCCAGACACCGCGACCATGATACTTACAATTCCCTCCAGAAGGATGAACCACTGCCAGGCCCGAAGCTTGGCTATTCCATCCATGTTCGTAAGAATGGCTGCGGCGAGGAGGCCAGAGAACACATTCGAAATAATGTTGCCCGCGTGCCAGATTCCCATCCGTAAAGGTGATTCTTGCTTGGTATACCACGACGAGGTGAGCAGAGAAACTGCCGGGACAAAAGGGCCCTCAGCCACACCGACCAGAAAGCGACAGAGGCAGAATCCCCAGCCGGAAGACAGAGCAGGCATGCAGATAGTTACCGCGGACCAGGTTAGTGCAATACAGGGGAAGAGTATACTGGGCTTCCCCTTCGCGATAATAACATTCGCTGGCACCTGTGATATGATATAGCCCACATAGAAAAGCGAAATCCCTGCCGACCACACTGTATCTGACATGTGGAGGTCGCTTTGCATCCCGGCAAGACGGGCATTGGACACATTGATACGATCCAGATAACTAGTTACGTTTAGTATCATGGGTTTTTCTTTTCCTCCAAAAGGGTTATGATGAACGATGTACTCACCTCATAAGAAGAATCATTGTAATGCAAGGCAGAAACTGCCAGTCCAACTTTCGTAGCACAGAACGGTTTAGTTTCTCCAGCTCTTCGGGGGATTTGTCCTGGAGAATTGGAAACAGTTCCAAAAGAGGATCACGCTGGGGAGAATCTTTGAGATCCTCCACGTGTGTGTGCGACTCTGGTTCTTTCGAGGTCATCTTTCGCGGTATGGGTGTCCTCAGTCTACTGGGTAACTGCGAGGGGTGTCTGGAGAGCCATTGTTCTGGAACTGAGGAGCATGCTCGCTTTATATACGCAATTCCGTTGATAACAAGCGGGGATGCTACATTGCTAAACCCCAGATTTCATTCTAATAAGCTCCACTTCCCCAGACTCTACAAGCTCTGGGGAAGTGGTCAAACAATCACGAGGTTTGGGATGAGTCCGACTTGGCACGTCTCTTTCATCGGAAAACGTCCGGACACTTGGAGGCATGAGCGCTCCAATGGGGTCAAGGATTTAAGACAGATACTTTCTCTTTGAGTGGGAGACGGATTGATTGGGTATGAACCATGGTAGCGCGGAAGATATTTGCACAGCCTTAGAGTTACCCACACTAGTAAGCTGTATAGGACTGGTGGCGTATGCTCTAGGGTATTCCTCATGCTCTCTTGTCTGTGCGTCGTTTCTCAGGCGCGGGCAAACCCAGCTGCTGCTAAGGCTATACCCTACCTACAGATCCAGTGAAACTTGGTGGAATTCTTCCTAGAACTATGCTCGGGGATCTGATTGCTATGTATCAATCTTGGCGGGCCTCGGTAAACATTGGCATCGGATACCCCTAGCCAACAGCTTAATTCACTAGCAAAAGGGGCATCGCATGGGCGGCTTGAGAACAAACCCCAGTCCATATTCCTCCCCGGATCCCCATGGACACGTTCTAGTATAAGATGTCCGTTTTCAAAAGAGTGATCTTCCCATTTTGATCCCCACCAGCCATAACAGCATCATATTTCGTAGCTTCCGCACCCCTCGCTCCATCGGTCTGTTCGCTGTGGCGCAATCGTTTGCGTTGGACTTCCAAGTCCTTCGGTGGTGTGACTTCGTTAGATCGGGCACTCGGGTATGTTTTGCGATCGGCATGGTTCGTATGTTCACGGTGGGATAGTAATGATGCTAAACAATCATCTGGATGAGAGGTTCCCTATCAGTCGTGAATATTGTACGTAGAATATGGATGTCGCGTGCGACACATGTTGGAGGGGATACGCGACGCGTCCGCCGAAACTATTCTAGCATCACTCTGCCATGGAAGACGCAGGCTATTGTCAGAAGGGCCAACGATTTGGAGTGTGACGGCATGCACGATGGCTTTCCCTTGTTAGTATAATCTCTCGTCCTGTTGTCTGGCTGTGCGGAGTCTAATGTTCATCTCGCGTCGCGGTTTGTTGTCGAGTCTGCGATTAGTCAGTGATGATGTTGAACCCTAGTTGAACCCTCCCCGTTAGCCCTTCAAATTCTGGCCATTTACCAGCATCGAGATATGTAAAAAACATTCGGATTTTCTGAACAAATTAACAAAAGAATCAGTAGCCTATAGTATGGTTCATGGTGTTTTTTCTAGATTTTCGATCCATGTTTGACCTCGTTCGCTTCCAACAACCTTCTATAAAGTTCGTCCTCAGTTCCTGACGGGAATATATATAGTTTATGACAAAATAGAGCCGTGATACAACTAACATCCATAACCCACCCTTAAACGTAAAAAAAAAAAAAAAAAAAAAAAAACACAGGGCCTCACGCCACCATGCATATATGGAGATTTCTGGATACTAACACATCAAAAATATCGCTGCTCATGAAGGAATGTATACATGCGAACCGGTGTTAAACCGAACTCGAGCCGAAAAGTAACCGAGATTGGGAGCTATGGAAACACACACCCCTCTTCACCCCCACAGCTGTCGTGCCCTCTCTGTGATGAACGTCTGATATGGAATTAATTTGCTGCTTTGCCAAATCGACTCATAAGGCAGGTTGTGATGAAATTTGCCTAAGGCGTCGTTTTTGCACTGGACTGTTTGTTTGAGTGGTTTGGTTTGCATGGCTTGTTTGTTTGTTATTGAGAGGAAGCAACACGTGACCTATTATTTTTATTTCCTAGTGTGGTTTAGCGCTATTGGACTGCGATATGAAAAGGAATGGATCAGAGTCAAGTCTAAGTAGTTGTACATGCCAAATAGACATCAGATGATTACTAGCTGAGGTTCTTGGACGATCGGTGTTAAAGGGTACTATAAATTATACCACTATCTGGAAGGATAGATTCAAAGTTGGGACGATTTACCATCCACACCAGACTACACTGGATGACATGATCGCCCCTTGGGCAATAAGCAAACGTGATAAAAGAGTCATGCTTTGAAGTGTACTGATGTTCAATAGGCCAAGCCGCGCATTTTCTGTGGCTCATCCAGTCTATTTTTCCACTCGAACTCCGGTCGATAGCGTAAAACTCTTATGCCGTCTATCATTAGCATCCGAAGCAGGTGTAGACTCAACGTCAAGATACAACCTGTGACTTTGGATCTCACAGGGCTATGCTATTGACGTGGAATTGTGCTCTATTTCTAGGTACGACAGATGGCGGATATACTCTAGTCTTGCACACCCTGAATCAGGTTCTTGATCCCTTCTCCCCGTGCCGTCTTATCCCAAGCCTGCGGCGCGTGTTCGAAAGGTGTCACGCTGGTAATTAAGCGTTTAACGTCAATGGATCCCTTGGTGAGCAGCTTTAGAGCCAGCTCATAGTCTCCCGGTCCGTACCGAAAGCATCCATGGACGTGGAGTTCTTTCTGGGACAGGGCCAAGATCGGGATCTCAGCTTTTGGCTTCCCAACACCGGCTTGAACGTAACTGCCACCGCGCCGTAAGGCATATATGCCAATCTGGACTGGGCCTTGAGCACCGGAAGCCTCGATCACGGCATCGACCCCATCCGGAGCATTCAGCATATCTAACAAACGAGTAGCACTCTCCTCTGGTGCGTCGTCCAAACTGACAAGGAAGGTTTCGCAATCGAGGAACTCAGACCCAAATGACAGCTTGTGTTCCAGGATGTCGACCAGAATGATCCGGTGAGCGCCGAACGCCTTGGCGACTGCGCCGCACAAAAGACCGACCGACCCGGAACCCATGATGACAATGGTTTGGCCAGGGGTGATGTTGACCAGACGAGTAGCATGCACCGCCACGGAGAGAGGCTCCATGAGCACTGCTTCTTGAAGGCTCATCCCCGATGGTATCTTATAGACAAAATCTTCTGGCACCCGGTAATACTTGGTCAAGGTACCATGCACGTCGGGTGGTACTGCCGCAAATCTCATCTCTCTGCAGATGTTGTAGTTGCCATGTTTACAAGCCTTACAGCGCCAGCAGGGGATACCAGGCTCAATGGCAACAGGATCACCGACCTGAACGGACTTGACGGCTGTTCCGACCGTACGAATGGTTCCAGCAGCTTCGTGGCCCAGTACTAGCGGTTGTTCCTTGCTAACCTTCTTGTTGACTCCGCCGTGTTTCCAGAAGTGTACCTAGCGACTAGTGGGTGAGCAAGAGGGACATTCTGTGGGCACCCGGGTAATCCTAGGGCCCTGGCTTCAGTATCTTACATCACTTCCACAGACTCCAACGTAGGCGATGCGGACGATAACATCGTGGGGATCCTGAATCTCCGGTACGGGAAGTGACTGTAGACGTGCGTCCCCCGGCCCATACAAGAACCAGGATGGGTTGTTACTCTCCATTTCCGGGACCTTGGGACTGCCAACTAGCTGGCACCGTATTTATCACGCAGCAGACAATACGTGAAGTGCCCCAAGGAATACTCGCGCTCTTAAACATATTGCGTCCATGTCTCCACATCGGCCTCCCCAGCGAAACCCCGCAGTTGATCGATCGGACATGCCCCGTACGCTTTCCCAAGTGGCATTAGTGCTCGCCTCGTGCATATTGAAGATATGTTCATACTTACTGTACAAGGTGTGACTGACCCAAGTCAAAGGGGTGGCTTTTGTAAGAATTTTCGCAGATGTTACTGGAGGACTTTGAATCGATTGACCTAGGGACGAGTGTAGCAGCAAGATAGAATTGCCCGGGTGCCATGTAGAAAGCAGGTCGTTGAATTAGAATAACTTAAAACACAAGCATATTATCCATCAGGACATCTTGGAACGTCGGATTCGATTGAGCAAGAAGCCACTCAACTCCGCAGGGCAGGGGGTGGCGTCGTCATGAGTGAAACCTGGACGCCTTTTAGAGAACAAGGATTTGAGGAATCTCCTGTGAAGCTCGAACGGTATAGCCTGAATAACCTTTTTATGGGGTTCTCAGACTAAACAATGATGTGTCCTATGGGCAGTGAAAGCCCATATCTATACTTGTACGAAGTCGCACACACGGCCGATGCCACCATACTATCCGTCTATCCTCAGTGCAAATCTGACTCTGCAGCAATGTCCTGACCGTTTCTTCCATGGCTCAATTGAAGTTGAATATGCCTCTCATAGCCGAGGAGAAATTCATCTCCGCGGAGCTTATCCCTTGCATCTTAATTCCGAATCGTGCTGAAGGCTCGGCTGATTCTAGGGATGACTGGGACCTTGAGGGGCTAAGCGCTGGGAAAGACAAATAATAAACTCTCTCAAAGCTGTATCAATGCCGATCGGACTCCTTCCCAGCGTGGAATCTAGAGGTGGCGATCGTCGGAAGATGCTGTGAGTTTGGACACGGGCATTGATCCGGGGCTGGTTGGCACGACAAGGACGAGTCAGCTCAAACTCGAATACCAAACCTTGTCCCAGATCTGATCGGGGCTTGACGTCCAAGTGGAGAATGTGATATCAATTATTTGCCCCAGAATTGGCGTATGATTGTATGGTATTGTTTCCTCGGTAACCTGTTCGATTCTCTTCTCAAATGAACATCTCTACTTCAAGTCATGAACCGAGAAACATTGCTGTATTAATGCAGACCAGCGACACAGTATGTAAAGGAGAGTGCCTCCATAGATGAAGGAACCAACAAATTAGCATATCTCTCCAGCGCTTCTGACACGCATCCGAGGGATATGAAGCTGCTAGACGTAGTGGGTATCATCGTAAACTTAATTATTAATACAGACTAGGATGCTACAAGCACAATTAAAAGCCCGACATGTCAGTTCAAATGTTCCACCAATTTGTCGTGCTGGTTGTTGGCGACTTGCGCCTCCCTGCCTTTTTTGATGCCAACAGTCGTTTCTTCCTACTTGGGCCCACTGCAAATTTGAGCTTTCTCTTGACTTTGGAAACGAGCCCGCGATCTGAGGGATTGCGCTGTCTCAAGGCTTTGCGAACTAATGGAGACGTGTCTTCTGAATGGACTGTCCGACACATAGGCTCAGTGTTCCTGAAATCGTCGCGCCTCGCACCCGACATTTCTGGTTTTTCATGCGCATAGAAGGCCTCGCACTGGCGCTCGGGGGTGTGGAATTTCTCTTCTGATCGCACTGATCGAATTGCTGCGATACTGGAAGGCGACCGCTTGGAGGAATTGGTGACATCTAGCATCTCTGTAATGTTACCCTTTGGGAGTGAAGCAGGTTAGAAAGGATCGAAAGATGGTCTTTGGCGTGTATTCTGAGTGGAAGCATGGGTTAATGGTAGTGAGATATGGAGAGGGACCACATACCGAGGGTGCAGACCCTGGTCGTTCATCTATTGCATTGGCCTTATCAAACCCATTCTTAGTCTTGGTTGGCGTTTTGAATGGTGATGCTAGGCCCAGGACTTTCGCCATGAGTACTTAAAAGGCGCTGCTAAACGTGATGCAAGAGTTTTCATTGCCAGGCAGAGGAAGATAGTCACTGCGGATTTGCCTACACACGTCGAAAGAACTCCGATATATATAATAGAGGCTATTTACATATTTGAGCTGGTCTACTACAGCGAGCCCTAAGTCATAATATTCCTGTGCATTCCAGCGCTTTGGTCCCTCAGGCAAGCAAGGGATGATATAACCGCCCGTGGTTGAACAGTTCGAGACAGGCAGAGAAGGCCCGAATGACCAGAAAATACTGGCAGTTACTGCTCCTGCGTTAAGTGAGTGTTTGACAGGCGCATAAAGCTTCGAAATTGGGCCTGCTCTTGGAAACATGCACGTAAGCTCTGGGGATATCGCTTGGGGGACCCCCTGTCACTTGTCCCCCTTGCGCGAGTCATGCACGGCGTGTGGGTAACTGGATATCCAATCTTAATTTACGAAACGCTTGGCCATCGAAGAATTAGCCTTTTCGCTTATGTGTTGATCGACTGATGGGCAGACGTTTGGACTTCCCCTTGCAGATCAACCGGAAATCATACCCGTTCAGCAGCAGCTCTTTCGGCTGATCAATTACGCCTGCAACGGTACATACTTCAGTTTAGCGCGAACCAGACGAACAGGAAATTACATCCTTGTTTTCTCACGAATTGAATCCTCCGTCGCAGGGAAGGAATGTGTCATGCTACCCCGAGCCAATCCCATATCGTGGAAATCCGATGAGAATGCAAGGACTCCTCGAGAACCTCTAGAAAGAATCTTAGCGAAATTAACCATACTTTGTGAATAGCCTCCTGGGTGAAGATTATCATAGCTGCCGCCCGCTGCCTGCTGTCTAGCTCAAATATCGTAACTCTGGTTTCTCGAAAGCTCCGCTGGCCTTGCATGTTGGCTATGCGCAAAGCTGAACAGAGGGCTTCACCTAGGGCAATAAAAGGGGCAATCCATCGATCGTATAGGGAATACAACTCTCATGGTGCCTTAATTTCTCTGATTTCACTGTACAGTGGAAGCTGAATAGTCGTGATATGTTGACCCACTCGGCCCAAACACCATGCGGTACTAATACTCGTGCCTAAGATGCTCGTTTGTCTATGAAAACAGAAAAAAAAAAAAAAACGTTTCCTTGGGTTAAAGTTAATCTCTGTCTATAGCCGAGCTTACATCTGCCCCCTCTTGAAGCCCTTTCCCCTTTTTCCCTTAACAATACTCTATCCCTGGCATCATACACCCGTGCTTGGTCGCCATGACATGTTTGACAAAGGGGTTTGTATACCATTCCTCCTTCTCATAGCGCATACTGAGCCACCAAGCTATCGGGACATAATTACTGTAAACCGAAGTGATGTACATACAGAACATGACAAGATGGAATTTATATCTTCGGATTGTCTGAAAAGCTCTGTTCGCCGGAATGGGCAATTTGCTAACCCCCCGAAGTCGGAGATAGCATGTTATTACTATTTGAAATAGCCAGGCTTATGTATAGCGCAAGAGGTTTGCTAATGGTAAACCGTCCTTCGGACGTGATAAAAGAGATCTGCCTACTTATTCTTCGACACAGTCACGTTCAAATTAGACAGCATAAGGCCCAGCTGAGCTCGTCCCATGCTCGGCCGAGTATCCATTACTTCCCTGCACAAGATCACGATAACACTCGGACAGCCGTTCTTGATGTGGCGCAACGTTCCATTCCAGATATTCCAATAGTTCCAACTCCAAAACTGCCATCTCGGCAGCAGAAACTCCACCTGCGGAAGCAAAGGATTGGTTGGGCCAGGCAAAGTCACTTACACTCTTACTAGCAACTAAGGCGCAGCTTAGAAGCAGCCTGTGAGCTGTAAGGCTCGAAACATCGAATGTGGGGTGCGTTTTGCAGAGTTGTCGGATGTAGATAACCATCATCACCAGTGTCGGAGACGAGAGACACAACCGATGCGTTAAGCGTCTCAGGTACTCGCAGGCAGATATCCGGGGCGCTCTGTTCGAGTGAAAGCGTGTAACAGTAAATCTGGGGCGGAATGCCATGTCGTTGAGGAATGCGAGCCTTCCCAGCGTGTTTGAGATCAATTGAACCATTAACATGGGGTTGACGAGCTCATAGCGCCATGGTAATCGCTGCGAATACGGGTCAGGTAGCAGAACTGTGGATAACGGAATGACATTCTCAGCTCCCTCATCTGTACCAGCAATACTACCTGCAATAGAAGAGCTCATCGATCGAGGAGCTGTTGCGTGCGAGTCCGAGCACCATTCTGCTTGCTGGCGCACCCAGCGCTCAAAATGTCGCTTGATTTTAGTGTCGCGCTTTGACCGTAGGAGCCCATTAGAGTTCAACTCGCAATGACTGCCACAGTAAGAGTTTCTGCAAGGCGAAAGGGTGGCAGTCTTAGTGTCCTTCTGGCGAAGATCGACGATTTGTCGCACAGGTCTCTTGTCAGAAGTTAAAGTTGGCAGCATTTGGACCCTCTTGTGAGTATTTGTTTCCATGAGATCCTGGAGGAAGGTATGATGAAGCATACAGTCTCGATTATAATGAGTAGTGCTGGTTCGGATTGGTGTGACAGCGGTAGAGCCTGCCATTGTGAAGGTAGAAAGCATAGATAGAAACGTGTAAGTCAGATGCTCGGCTTTGAACTCACAATGACCGTACCAGAGATCGTATATCAATGTTTTCGCCCATGTAGAAGGCATAGTAGTGGACCTACGCGAACCAATGGTTGTTCCCCAACAAGAGCTGTCTGAACCATGGTTGAGCTCATCGGTCAACCGTCCCCACGTCACCATCCGGTCATGATATAAAATGCTTCATAAGAAGCTCCTGAGCAGAAGTGGCAATGTCACCACTGGCGGTTGGATCGCTTAGTCTTCACCATTCAATGCGTGGCATACCTCTGTGAACTATATCACATTGGGACAAGGTTTAATATCGCCTCTGCCCTGAATAACACGCTTCTTGATTGCATTTATCAACGAATGCAACAGTCTACATGATGGCTCAACATGATTGAATACTGAAAAATGCGCTGGCTTTGCTTGGCTACCACTATCCATCCCTTCGAAGAGAAAGAGGACACAAATAAACGCAATCGGGCTCATTGACGGCTGTCAGCGACCAAGGCCTATGGTTAAGACTTGGCCGCCAAGCATGTATGAAAAGACTAGCAACACCTGCCATTTCCCTTGCTTATCTTGTTGTTATTAGCCATGTAGTGGATTGTTGTTATGGCGAGAGTGCTCAGTGCAGCTACGAAGGGCTTAACGCTTAAATATCAGACAGACCAAGCAGGAGAAGGACAAATGGCGATGGACCGTACATATGACGTTTACTCAAAATACTAAATAAAAAGAGTTCATTTAAATTGCAGCGTAATCCAACAATAAGGGTAAGTTGCTTGGGTGTCCAAGGATAAGTTCGCCGTTTGCAAACTTCATGGCCGGAGAATACGGGATCTGGATAATATTTCCGGAGACATCCGAATGGCGTAAGAAGAGGCACGGGCTATGATGTATGTGGGACTTTCGAGTAATCTTATGGGGCAAAATTGGCGATATAATTCTCGAATGGCTCAACTCAATAGAAGTCATATCTACTTACCTCGGCAACCAGTCTAGAAGTACTAAATCAAGCAGAAAACCCGTTTCTTGACTAACGTCTACTGGCAACACCATGCATCCACTCGGTATTCGGCTGTTGTCGGAGGCCGAGTTGCTGCAGCCTCCGTACCTAGCTTGTAGAAGTGATAAATAGTACTGCTGCTTGCATGCAGATCTAGTCTCACTGCTATACTTCCTCACTACGCCTGGGAGTTGAATTACAACCTGAACACCCACAATGCTCACCCTCAATATTGCCTACACGGAACCAGTGAACAATACCTCCGATCCCTCCATACCAGTCCTTACCCAGGAGCAAGTCTGGAATGGATTGAAACTAAAAGCTCGACATCCGCAGGATTTCATTCCATCTTTGGATGATTCCCGAATTCTTGAGGAACGGGATGATGGAACCTATATCATACGAGAGGCTCACGTTGCGGCCAACCTCCGTGAATCCCCTATGGCTGGAAAATGGACCAGAGAAGAATGTAAACTACATGCGCCGGTCAGGGTAAGGGGCCTAGACACTCAGATCTTGTTTCAATACTTGTCCGTCGTGATCTAACCGAATTGCAGACTTATTTCACGTTACCAGGCGGGTCATCCGTGGAAAATATCGTGTCGATCGGACATGACCAGAATCTCTACCTTACGTTTACATACGAATGGAAATTGACTGATATCGAGCCCGGGACAAATGAGGCACAAAAGGCTAAAGAGGACCATATGAGAATTGCTATATCCTCCGTGCAAGGAACTATCCGGGCATTGAGACGAATGGCAGAGGAAAGGACTCTCTGAAATTTGCGTCGTAAGTACTGAGGCGACCCCGAATAACTTGACAATGAAAATTAAATTGCCACACGGAGCTTTATACGGGATATCTAGGAATAGTAGACGGTAGGAGATGTAGAATAACTACTTAGAAAGGCCCTTGTTGTAAAAAAACGAAGAAGATATCGTGCGTTAGCTAGACGGAAACACCCAAAATTTTGAACCCTAGTCGTTTACAGTCATAACACGGTTTACTATATTAAAAGAGCACAATTGAAATAAAGCCATTATTCTATGAAAGGCGACAGTGGTACCTAATACCTATACTAATACAATGCTCAGCAGTACCTTGCTCATGTTGATAAAAAAAAAAAAAAAAAAAAAAAAAAAAAATAAAAAAAAAAAAAAAAAAAAAAAAAAAAAGAAAAACCAATCAAATCCAGTAAGAACAAGTAGAAAAAGATAAAGAAAGAAGGACGAGCTCCTAGACGCCGCTAAAAAGAGATCAAGAAATGCGAGTACGTATTTGGAATCCTGTCCTCAATACACACAGCGTAAAAACTCACAATAGCCCAATCATGAACCCGTGGCATCCGGATTCTGTAGATGAACGAGTTCGTAGTAGCGTCCTTTTTTCCGGAGAAGCTCACGGTGTGTACCTGACTCGACGACCTCTCCTTGGTCGAGGACGTATATTAGATCTGCCCGCTGGATAGTGCTCAGCCGGTGAGCAACTGCGATCGTAGTGCGTCCTCGCGCGGCGGCATCCAATGCTGCCTGGACGACCTTTTCCGACTCGGAATCTAGAGCGGACGTAGCTTCGTCCAATAGGAGGATCTTTGGATTCCGTATAAGGGCCCGAGCGATGGCAATGCGCTGCTTCTGGCCACCAGAGAGCATGCCTCCTTTATTGCCAACAATGGTGTTGAAGCCCTGCCTGCAAACCGTTAGTACACCTCTGCTGCTATATTGATACGAATGGTGTGGAAGAACTTACGGTAATGACAATATGAAATCGTATATGTTTGCATCCTTGCAGGCTTTAATGAGGAGACCATCTGGGACATCAGGCGTGTTGCTTCCCAACAGGATGTTCTCCCGGATGGTCCCTTGGAACAAAGTCGGTTCTTGACTGATGAGAGCCAAGTGGCTGCGGTAGGAAGACATCTCGAGAGTGATAATATTCCTTCCATCTACGTAGACACCACCTTTGAGAGGATCATAAAATCTCTCTAGTAACGCAATGGCAGTGCTCTTGCCACTTCCACTCGCGCCCACCAGCGCAACAAATTGCCCTGGTTTGATGGTCAGGTTCAAGTGGCGAAGGATTGGTTGCTCCAGACGACTGGGATATCGAAAGGAGACCTCGCGGAACTCAACCAGCCCTCGCATGGACGAAACCGGAACTCCTTTGCCCCGAGAAGCATGCATTGTGGCGCTGCTGAAGAGCCGTTTGAACTCACGGGCAGCGTGTTTCGCCTTGCCCATGTCCGGAGCATGAGAGAAAACCGTTCCAGCGGCCTGGGCCCCAAAGATCACCTCGCTAAAACACACGTAAAATTGAAAGAGGGAGTACTCTCCATGACCAAGGAGAGACCCGCCATACCAGAATCCCAACGCCATGCAGAAGAAAGGCAACGCCTGCGAGCTGGCATAAAGTAAGGATGATTTAACAATGGGGAGTATATCACTCTTGAGCTGTCGACGAAGCTGTGCTTGATAGGATTGCAAGGCCTCGGTCTCCATGGTCAGGGAAACGACCGTACGGATGGCCGAGGCTGCCTCACAAGCAGAACTAGCCGATTCCTGATATGCTTTCTTTGCCCTTCGTTGGAACCGCTCCAGCATCCAAACCCGAACAAATCCACACATTAGCAGGGCTGGAACTGCGGAGATGCACACCAGTGCCAGCTTCCAACCCATGACAAGGGCTACCCCTAACGAAGCCACGAGATTGACAGAGACAATCAAGATAGTCCCCAATGTGACGCCGCTAATACCGGTTAGCTCTTTGGTTCCTGCACTTAGTGTGGCTGTCAATGCGCCTGTCGTATTTTCCTGCCGATCGAAAAAAGAAATATCTTGGTGTAGCATCACCCGGAATGCTCGACTGCGGGCCCGGTAGACCATTTTTTCAGAACTATATGCAAATAAGGTCCCTTGTACGCTATACAGAAAAAGCGATACGAGGCCAATCATGAGAAACATAAGAGACCAGAAGTTGGCATCGTGCCGGAGCTTTGGATATTCAAAGGGAGGCAAGCTGAGCGTGCTGACAGCCTTCGCAAACAGCACGGCCTGCGATGGTTGAATACCCCCTGCCAGGATGGATGCGCAGAGACCGAGTAATAAGAACGGCCACTCGGGCCGGTTAAATGAGGCAAGAAATCTGAACAAAGTCCAGAAAGAATAAGCCTCTTCCTTGGCGGGCTGCATGAGATGAGATAGTGTCATTCTCGACACAGGTCGTTGTTTCTCTCCAGTGTGCAATCCGATATCGGATGCATCATCACTGACTACACTATGTAAATCGGACTGGTCATCGCCAGGACAATCTTTATCGAAGAAGAATGTCATTGAGGTATGTTTAGGGGGAATGCTCGTCAAGAAATGGGAATATCGCTTAGAGTATCTCGAGTACCGCTTCTTGATCTGTTGCGCTTCCACCATGCCATAATAGACCCCTCGTCGGTCCATCAAATGCTCATGCGGCCCTTGCTCAATAATCTGGCCATTGGCAAGAACAATGATGTTATACGCCTCTTGGATTGTGGACAGTCGGTGAGCGATGACGATTGTCGTTCTCCCCTTCGATGCCTTGTCCAGCGCTGCCTGAACGAGCTTTTCGGATTTCGTGTCCAAGGCGGATGTTGCTTCATCTAAGAGCAAGATCTTAGGGTCCTTTATAATAGCTCTGGCAATGGCGATGCGCTGTTTCTGCCCTCCAGAAAGTGAGAAGCTCTCGATATTCGTATCATAGCCATTCGGAAGCGCCATAATGAACTCGTGCGCATTTGCCGTTCGAGCCGCTGCTTCAACTCGCTTTCGGATTTCATAGGTCGATTCCTTTTCAAATCGAGAGCCAATGATTCCATAACGGATATTCTCCGCGATTGTGGTGGCGAAGAGTCTCGGCTCCTGCGACACGAGCGACATTTGCTGTCGCAGCCACCGGACATTCAATGTCTGAATATCCTGGCCGTCGAGCATAATGGTCCCCGCGACCGGGTCATAAAACCGCTCCAGCAAGCTGATGATGGTACTTTTGCCCGAACCCGAGGGGCCCACGAAGGCCGTCGTCTTACCAGCGGGGATATAACAACTAAGGTCATGAGCAACAGTGACCTCGGGCCGCGATGGATACACGTGCCGGATGTTATGAAGCACTATATTTCCTCGGACAAACTCCAGTGTCTTGCCCTCGTCGGACAGCGCATCTAAGGGGGACTGACGGTCAATGGTGCTATATAGCTTCGATGCCGCCGCTACCGCGTTCGACAGCGCTTGACCATTGGGGGCCACATTGCCTAGATTATAGGAACCTAGGATGATGGCCATCATAATGGTCAGCACATCACCGGCTTTGATGTTACTGATTCCTTCGACGAGGAAGCGAGACCCCATCCAGAACCCAAGCCCATAGTTGAGATACATGATGCATAGTAATGCCCCAACCATGATGGCGAAAATTACTTTTGATTTCATTCCGGGCCCTTCGGCATCCTTGAGATGTGATTCGTATTTCTGTGCCAGGGTTTCTTGGGCATTGAAGGCTGCGACGGTCCTGATGGAGTCGAGGATGTCCTCCGCCATGCTGGCGCCACGGCCCTGGCATTCCAATGCCTTTTTGTTGAAGATAAGCATGAGGGTGGAGCAGCCGCCCATGGTCAAAAGCAATGCGAGGAGGCTGGCACTACAGATTAGCGCCAGCTTCCAGTTCTTTACATAGGCGATAATGAACGCCGTAACGAACGTCGACAGCCCGGTCAAGGCCAAGCCGACCTTTTCGGAGATACCGTCTTGTATCAAGTTCGTATCGGCTGTGATTCTCGTGGTGATCTCGCCGGCACCGAGAGTGTCAAAGAAGGCAATATTCTGTCTTAAGATAGCCTGGAAGTATTTCACGCGAATCTGCTGCACGACATGGTCGCCAGTGTAGATGAAGCCGACGGTCGCTAGATAGATCGCGACGAACTCAGCCACACCCAGGTATATGAAGTAGACCACATTCTTGGTTAGCTCGTGATGGAATTGATCATAGGTGATTTGATGGGTAGCAATGTCTTGAAAGGTCGACGTCAACCTGCCGAACAGGACCTAGCATAGTTGGTTAGCCTTTGTGATTATGAGCTAGTTATTCTAAATCCAGGCATCACTTACTGTGAAGAGAGGTAGTGCTGCACCGCCTGCGATCGCAGCAAGTGCACTGCCGAAGAGAATGGCAACATCGCACCGAGTCGCATATCGATAGATACCAAAGAAACCGACTTGTGACACCGGCGTATGGAGCTGTCTATCGAGGACCTCTTCAGCGTGTGAGACAGAGAGACCCGTAGTTGTACTGCCTGTCCCAGGAGACTGATTGGATCAACAAGTCAGCGATGATGCTGTGATAGTTAGATCAACGCATGGATTTCACCTTTGGGAGCGGCTTCATCAGTATATCTTTGTCGAGTTTCATGGTGCAAATGGCTCCCAGTCTTCACATCTGATGGAATGACAGGCGGCCATTTCCCAATTACCAGCATCAAACGTATTATCAGCGCAAGAGATTGTTACGCGGGTACTTTGTGAGCGCGTCAAAAAGCCTTGGGGCAGTGGAGCAGTCCCTAAGTTTTTTTGCAACCCTCTCCGCGTCTCCGACTTTCGCAGGCACTTGTTAGTCACCCCACCGCTATTGCCAATTAGCGGTCAATTCTTCAAATGATGTCCTGGGTTGGGATAGTAAGGGGTCCGGGGTCAGAGGGTGGTTCCTGACATTGCCTGTCGGGCTACTCGTCACATCATCCCCGGGGTAAGCCCTGAATGTGGTATCATCGAGTCCCGATACGTGATAATAAGCGACGGAGCATCCTAGGGTGAATAG